ATCTCTCTTAAATCAAAATTCATAAATTTTTACTGGTAAAATTTTGTTTGAAAACAAAAAGAAGATATGGAGAGGAATTCCCCCAAACAGAGAAAAAAGTCGTCCAGTTTGTCACGTTGCACATGCTGCGTTCTATCATTCCGGTGGATATATAACTAACATAAATTCGCACTTTTAACTTTTTGGAAGCCAGCCATATGACACACGTTATACTCCCTCCGTCCCAAAAAGATCTTTCTGTTTCATTTTTGTGCGTCTCATAAAACACTTCTATTACGCCTCAAATGCAAAAAAGAACTTTCTAAACAACTCCTACTTACAATAAATGAGAAATGTGATAAATTTTAGACATTTTTGATTTGTATAGAAGTGTTTTATAGGATGCGCAAAAAATGAAACAGAAAGATTTTTTTGGGAGGGAGGTAGTAATATTTATTATTACTCCGGTTATTTGTTTTTCTCTCTAAGAGCCAGCCATGACGCATGCAGCATGTTAGCCTAGCTTAATTTGGTCGATTTTTACCTGCTGGATCGGTCTAGCATGCATGCATGGTGTTTCTCTTTGTTGAGTGTGAAGCCAGGAAGCTAGGTGGAAGCTAACAGGAAACTCGCAGGAAGCTACCTAGAAGCTTACGGCTTAATCATTGTCTCCCTAACTAATCTCTATTTAAGAGATGCTGATGTGCTTGTAATTGTGGTGCAACAAAAATAATAAAATCCTCCTAGTTGCCCCGTGTGGACGTAGGTTGCAGTTGGCGGCCGAACCACGTTAAATCCTGTGTCGTTTATTGTTTTGCAGTTGATTTGTGATTGTGTGTTGTTTCCGCGTGCGTTTATTCCCAACACTCTTTTTCCGATTCCGTAAAAAAGTTAGACACTTTGATTATCAAGAATTAACAGCCATCTCATGCGTCAAAATCAAAAGCCATATTACTTGATTCAAATCTGAGTATACATGTCCTTTCATCCTCATCCGTGTTTAATGTGACATATTATGAACACAAAATCACCTTAAATAGAAGTAAAACATAGAGAAAGTACTTGCCATCTTACTACCAAAAAATAATCTAGATAGACCTATTTCTTGTATAGCGGGTGTAGAAATATAATTTGAACTAAACTTGAATGATCTGATTACACATAGATCCGCTATTTATAATAGCTAATTACGAGCCCTACAAGAATGAGCCCGTTAATGACAAACCCTATTACATTCCTTAACACTCTCCCTCAAGTTGAGCATGAGGTTAACGAATGCACAATTTGGACATTTAAAAAAATTAGGACTAAAAAAACTTGATAAAAAACTTGAACTTGATCTGCTGTGACAATGAATGAACGAAGGTGACTGGCGCAAACGAACAATAAATTTTGATGACGAATGACTCCCACGCGGTGACACGAGGACGACTAACAAGCATCCCAAACTTGGAGGCCGTGTTGCCGGACTGAGGCGCGACTATGCGACCAACCTCACAAACTGATATGTCGAACTGAGGCGCGACTATGCGACCAACCTCACAAACAAACATGCCAAACATACAGCTGGTTGCACTTGAACATACCAAATAGCAACCAAAAATAATGTCGCCAAAAACATCATCAAATTTCAATGAACGGCAGAGTGAACATAAAAACCTTCTTGAGCGGAGCGCGAATAAAACAGAACAAATAACCACTTTGGCAGATCAAACTTGGCAGACTCCAAACCAAAGTTTTTTTTGGCGGGACATAACAAGCGGCAACGAAGAATTATAAAGGACGGTGGCGACGAGCATAGGGTTCCAGATTAGCAATCCCCAACTTACGGAGTAACAAACTCAAATCAAACTTTGAGGTGTCCAAACTTTTAGGCAAGGATAATCATCAACCTTTGTCTAGTGGAAGACAAATCACTAACACTACGTACATCCTAATTTTGAGGCACCAAAACCAAATTTTTGCCAAACGGATACTGCTGCAGGACGACGAAAAAAAGGGCTGCTCCAAAATGGTGGCTAGACATAATACAATGCTAATTCAACCCAAAGAGATCTTTGTGGCGACTGATTATGTCTTGATTTTTTTTCTTGATTATGGTGGGAATAGATGGTGACGCCGCCGTCGCCGGACAAACCACCGACGACGGCGACCACGAAAGCAATGATTTAGAGCAAACTAGGGTTTAAGTTCCCAGGTTGGCTCTGATACCATGTAGAAATATATTTTGAACTAAACTTGAATGATCTGATTACACATAGATCCACTATTTATAATAGCTACAAGACTATGACCTAATTACGAGCCCAACAAGAATGATCCCGTTAACGACAAACTCTACTACATTCCTTAACAGCGGGTATATTTTGTAAACATACTTAATATTGTTATTTGGTTGTGTTCATGATTTGTTGTTTGTTTATTATCTTCACCCATCAAAAGGTCTAAGAGTTTTGAACCAAGTATCTGTTGGATAGCGAGAATTTTGTGACATGGGACAAGGCTGTCTGTAATGCTTTGACATGTCAAAGTAAGGCCAGTTTTTTAACTGCGCAAGGGTTTCATCGTCCAGTTGAGGAACATGAACCCGTTGCATAAAACTCTAAGCTTGAGCTTTTAGATAAGTTGGTTACTTGACATAACATTTGAGTCTTATTGACCAAGAAGTTACGAGTTCAATTCGAAACTCATTGTAACCTAGTCTTAGTCTTGATCAAAACACAATTCCATAAGACAATAAAAATTATACGCTTGAATAAAGGAACTAAATTCTTAGATGAATGGGGGTGTTCTATTTAATTTTTTGTGTAGGAACTTGACAATGAAATGAGTGTGTTGAGCATATTAAAAACACCTATATCCTCAACATCATTTGATCCTTAATGTTCCAAGATTCATTTCCCATTGTATT